CTTTCTTGCATTTCCTTTTCTTTGGGATGGTTTTTGTTGCTGCCTCCTGTACAATGTTACGAGCCTCCATCCATACTTCTTCAGGCACTCTGTCCCCTAGTTCTTTAAATCTGTTCTTCACTTCCACTATGTATTCATCAGGGATTTGGTTTGGATTATACCTGAGTGGCCCAGTGGTTTTCCCTACTCTCTTCAGTTTAAGCTTGAGTTTTGCTATAAGAAGCTGATGACCAGAGCCACGGTCAGCTCCAGGTCTTGTTTTTCTGGAAAAGAAAGAGCTTCTCCATCTTTGGCTGGAGAAAACTTAATCAATCTGATTTCAGTATTGCCCATCTGGTGATGTCCATGTGTAGAGTCGCCTCGTGTTGTTGGAAAAGAGTGTTTGTGATGACGAGCTTGTTCTCTTGACAAAACTCAATTAGCCTTTGCCCTGCTTTGTTCTGACCTCCAAGGCCAAACTTACCTGTTATTCCTTTATGTCCATCTTCTTATTTTCCATCACAAGCAAAAGATAAGCAAAGTCAATGTTTGAATGGAACACAGAAAGCAATGAGCAAAGGTCAGAAAAGTCCTGCTTTCTAATTCACTGAACTCATGCACTGTCTGTTACATCTTCTTGCAATTTAATGCAGAAGTATACTATTGTACTATCCAGCATGGTAAATTTACCCAAGTATTATTTTCCCCAAAGAAGAATTCAACCGGAAAGGTGTCACTGGTTCTTCTTGTAACAAAGAAATACCTCTGCACTTTTCATTGGATGCAGTTCATCCCCATGGAAGTTAATTTGTAAACCAATATCTTTCCCCATCTGAAGAATTCTTCTGGTAGAATTCAGATCAAAGACACCCTTCTCACAGAAGACATCTATATTGTCAATATGTATTTCACCATTTAGGTCAAGTTCTTTCAGTTTAGGAAGATGAAAGTTTATAATGTCATCAGCCGCTTCAGTGGCATTTTTGCCCCTGTTAAAATAGAAAATGTAACAAAGGGGGAAAATTAATCCTACTGAACTTTTCATGTTTGTCTATATATTTTATTTGTTTGTTATATTTATATTTATCCTGACTTCCAAGTTCTAGTATGCAATAAAACCCAGATCAATACTAGTGAAAAGCACCTAAACTATTAAAAGAGAGTTTTGCCTTGGCTATATAGACCAGTTTAAATACCTGTACTCAGACCAGAATCCTATTGATATTTATGTAATTTGGGGTAGCTAATTGTGGCTAATAGAGGTGATGCCAGGTGACATGTACATGGTGACATTCCCAGCTGCAAAACAGGAATGTGCCCCAGCACTTGATCAAATAGCTTTATGCAAATATCAGCAGGATTCTCACCTCAGTGATAAAAAGAGGGGTTGTCTCCATGAATGTGGTGTGTGTAAGTTAATAGCAATTGGATTCAAAGCAATGTATGCACATAAGACCATTGGCTCCCTGCTCCTTTCAAGCCAGCGATAAATAGCAAATATGTAGCAAACAACGAGAAATAACAAATAGGCTTTCCCTGTTGGCAGATCTTGAGAAATCCCCCCCTTTTTTGTGCTGTTGCTTCGATATCCCCTCAGCCTATATGGTCATGTTTACTGGTGGATTCAGGGAATTCACAGTCCCAAAAAGTATTACCAAGCTCTGTTTTCCTTCTGTAAATATCATATGGAATAGTTTAGTCAGAAGCCCAAAAATGTTCACATAAAAATTTAAGAAAAGTTATATTATAAAGATCGCAGTGCTTAAAATAAGAAGACAGAAAGTTGTATTACTTTGGAACAGAATGGGCTCCACAGTAAGTGGAGGAAATACCAATGTCCAACTCCTGCCTGGCTCGCTCAATTACTCTGAGCATCTTGATTTCTGCTTCAAGGTTTAAACCGTATCCACTTTTGCATTCCACCAAAGTGGTGCCTGCTCTAAGCATTCGCAGCAGCCGCTGTTTCAAACTTTGAAAGAGCTCCTCTTCTCCAGCTTTCCGAGTGTGCTCCACAGTAAAATGTATTCCCCCTCCTGCTTCATGAATTTCCATATAGGAGGCACCTGCCAACTTAAAAGCAGAATGATCTGTTAAACATGTAATTTGGGGGGAAATACTACACAGCAGCTGCCTGCGACAAAATCCCAGCTTTCTCCTGTCTCTTATAAAGTTCCTTGAGAAAGAGTTATTTCTTTCAGAAAAGGGACTGGAGTGTAGAGTTCAATCTGTCCCTTTTTATAATGACATCCCCCCCCAATTGCTTCTACAAATAATGTTACATAAAACTGCTTTTTCCATTTCCTATTTATGAGGTAAACATGGGTCTAGATCAATTATTCTCAATCTTTTTTTTTTCTTTTTCTTTTTGGCCACAGCCATAAACATGATATGAAAGAAATATAGGCCAAGTCAGGATTGTATAAGTCACATAACAAACCTTTCAAAGTGGTGTGCAAAGAATTGTTTCCAGTCTGTGGCCCCCTGCAGATTTGTCAGGGTTCCCCAAATGTGCCAGGTGGGCCCTGTGACTTCTCATTGAGAATGGCTGGTCTAAATCACAGCTGTGTATATGTGTGCCAACAACAGGACCCAGGTAGGACCAAGACCCACCTTTCTCAGACCACTTCATGGAAAAGAATAGCAGCACAGTATTTATTTAATATTTATTATTGATTTATTGAATTATTGATTGGTTGATTGGTTGCGTGATTTACAGTACTACAATACCTGCTTTTTCAGGAGAAGAGACTTTTCAAAAACTACAGAAGGACAAGATATATAAATGAAAAAACAAAATATCCCAACTATTCTCTAATTATACAAATTTACCTTCATTGCAAATTCATGGACTCTGTCACCAGCCCATACTGGGTGTGTGTGAGCATCTACCAGACCTAATTTAGAAGACAAAGATACAAACAAAATAATGCCCAACATGGATATTTTAATCTTATTCAGCAGACACGCACACCCCCAAAAAAGCAGACAGAACATTATGAACTGTACGGTGGTGAATAGTCACTAATTGTGCCAAGCTACACCACTGATACATGACCAGAAATTTAGTCAGAGACCTACACATTAGTAGCTATTCCCTGTTTCAAGTTACACCATTGCATTAATACCAGTGTACTATTTAATTGGATTCAGCCTTACTTTTGTTACAAAGACAAAACATACCTATAAGTATTAAAAGACTCACTGAAATGAATGGAACTTGTTAGTTAAAAAAGGTAAAGGTTCCCCTTGACAATTTTTGTCCAGTCGTGTCCGACTCTAGGGGGCGGCGCTCATCCCGCTCTTCAAGCCATAGAGCCAGCGTTTGTCCGAAGACAATCTTTCCGTGGTCACATGGCCAGTGTGATTTAGACACGGAACGCTGTTTACCTTCCCACCGAGGTGGTCCCTATTTATCTACTCGCATTTACATGCTTTCGAACCGCTAGGTTGGCGGGAGCTGGGACAAGCGACGGGTGCTCATTCCGTTGCGTGGATTCGATCTTACGACTGCCGGATCTTCTGACCCTGCAGCACAGGCTTCTGCGGTTTAGCCCACAGCGCCACCACATCCCTCACTTGTTAGTTACCATTAACCTAAATCCCACTGGTTCCAATTGGCTCTTTTCTAGGTAGGACTAGCATTGGATTTAGCCCCATTTTCAAAAATTTTGCTTATTTGTGTGAATTTCTGGGAGAGGGGAATGAGGTATTTGCTTCCTGTGGGTTATTTGCCTGCTTACTCACTCATTCATTTATTTGTTACATAAACCATCCCTCTTGACCACTAATGGAAACACAATACAAGACTAGAACAATGCAGAACAAGTCTCTGTATGTCCTTTCCCAGACTTCACTGGCATTCGAATTTGATCCCTTCTAGATGGCGCAGAATTGGAGAATCTCTAACCTTCCAAATTTTGGGGCCTACAATGCCTATCAATCTGTACCCATCATGGCAATTAGTAAGGAAATGTGAAAATGGTCATCAGAAACATCTGGTAAGGAATGCTGGCAGTTGCAGTTCAACATGGGAAAATTTGCCTACCACTGCTTTATATAAATATATATTGCATTTAGATGCTCACTGTTCCACAAAGTTGGTCAGGGGAGGACACTTTCTCTTCTCTCCTTTAACTTCACCATTTTGTGAGGTAAGTGAGGGTGAAAGAGAATGTTTGGCTAAAGATCACCAAGGAAGCGCTGGGACTGTGACGATGTGAACTATTTGCCTGTTGGTCAGGGTTCTAGTCCCCTTTGAGACATGAAACTTACTGAGTGACTTTGTCCAGTCACACTCACTGAGCCTCATCTATCTCCCAAGGTTATCATAAGAACGGAGCAGGAAAGAGAGGAGCCATCTCAAGTTCAGTGAGGGAAAAGGTAAAGGTTCCCCTTGACATTTTTAGTCCAGTCATGTTCGACTCTAGGGGGCGGTGCTCATCCCGTTTTCAAGCCATAGAGCTGGCGCTTGTCCAAAGACAGTTTCCATTGCCACGTGGTCAGCATAACTAGGGAACACCGTTTTACCTTCCCACCGAGGTGGTACCTATTTATCTACTCGCATTTGCATGCTTTCGAACTGCTAGGTTGGCGAGGAGCTGGGATAAAGTGACGGGAACTCACTCCATCGCGTGGATTAGATCTTCCGACTGCTGGTCTTCTGACCCTGCAGCACAGAGGCTTCTGCAGTTTAGCTCACAGCACCACCACGTCCCTTCTCAGTGAGGGAAAGCAAGATATAAATGTGGCGAGTAAAATAAATAACACATAATTAGAATCTGCCGTGTGGAATGAAACCACAGCATACTTCAGCAACTGCCATCCATCCTGTGATTAAATACGTTCGGTGATAGAAAACCCATCTTCTCCTAAGATGGCCTGCTCCATTGCCAAAGAGTAAGGTACTTCTCATGCAGGTTAATCAGAACTAGTTTCCCTGAAGTTTCCACCACTAGTTTCTTGTCTACCAGTTTCAGTCTCTCTTCTTTATATGACAGCCCTTTAACTGCATGAGAGCAGTAACTATCTCTCCCGTCCATTATCTCCTCGTCAGGCTAAACATACCCAACTCTTTCTCCTTTTCCTCATAAGGCACTATCCATACTACAAAGCAGACTGGGGCCTAATTGGATCAGTACAGGCATGTGACACAATGTTAAGTGACGGTCACAAAATATTCAACTCAACTGATGTATCTCTCCAGCCATCAGTGCTCACCCATCTCATAGCTCTACACATAAATTAGCCCAGAAAAAAACACACACAAATGTTCATTGCAAGGGCACGTAATCCCAAATATGTTTGTCTAACAAAGGACTGAAAAACTGCTGCATCTTTCTGCTTGATTCAATAGGTTCTGAAAGAGATACCAACCTGGTAAGATGCACTTTCCTGAACAATCAATTATTTTTTCAAAAGACGCTCCTGAAAATTGCTTGCGAATGGTGCTTACATCCCCAACTGCCTTTATATAGCCATCTCTGGAAGCAAGTGAACAAATCCTTGTGTAAATTTCAGTCCATGGAGATTCACAGAATTACCTTTTCCACTCTAATCCTGAACATTTTTTCTTCTTTACTGAAGCAACATATTTAAGCCAATCTCCTCTTAAAGAACTGATTTGAGTCATTAGTGTTATTTGAGTCATTAGTGTGGGGGGAAAAAGATGAAATGCATTGGAATGAATTGAGGCTTGGTCACATGGAAATCAATAAGGCAACTCACTTAAGCCCTACTGATTTTAGTTGTGATGTGTTGTCAAATCACTTCTGGCAATTCTAAGAGAGTTTCAAGGAAGGTGGGATAGTGGAGGAAAGGTTGGCCGTTGCCACCCCACAGTGAGCTTCTGTGACCCAAGCCTCTGGAGCCCTAGTTGGGCACTGTATCCTCTACACCAGTGGTCCCCAACGTTGGGCCTCCAGATGGACTACAACTCCCCGAAGCCTTCACCACCACCACTGCTGGCCAGGATTTCTGGGAGTTGAAGCACAAGAACATCTGGAGGCCCTAAGTTGGGGACCACTGCTCTACACCACACGCCTCTCCCTTAATTTCACTAGGTCTCAGGAAGGCTGGCTGCAACTCCTACCTGGACACTTTCTCTGATACAAATATAACGGGGGCAAATGTAACTTCCCTGTAATTCAATGGTAATAAGAAAGTTAATCGAAACTTACAGCGCCCCCCACCTCACCCCTTTGATGAGCACCAGCCCACTTAGAAGGAAAAGAACCCCTTTCGATGGCTGCGGAGAACAGCTTGCTCTGCACGGGAAGCGAACCACAGAAGGAGCAAAGACACACACAGACACAGACACAGACACACACACACAGACACACACACACACTCGGGCCGTGAGACGCCCTTACTTGCCAATCACCACGCTGGCATTTTCGAGCACGGGCAAGCGCTGCATGCCAACCTCCAGCAGGTATTTCTCGCCCCGGGTGCAGACCGGCCCCAGCTGCTGGGCGCCTTCGAGCAGGAGCCTGTACTCGCCCGCCATGGCTTCCCTCTCTCCCGAAGCACCAGGAGGGGGACAGGCGGGCGGGGGCAGCCTCGCGGGGCGGGCG